GCTTTGGAGCTTGGAACCTCCGTGGAAGGAACATGAACTTGGAGCTTCCGAAGATGGGACGCTGAATGGGAACCTCCATAGAACCAGACCCTCAGCTGACGGAACACTGTCGTTCCCTCGACCCCCACCCCCCGCCCTCCCACCCTCCACCCCCTCAATTTTATTACATTAGTTTCAAGAAAGCGTACATTGGTCATGCATAAATCAAATTTCCATTTTGTCTTTTTTTCTTTTTTTTCTTAAATTACATTTGAACACAGAACACTTAGAATAGTAATAAATACTCTCAAAAGACGTGACTCAGAAAAAAGTAACACATCAGAAAACAAAAAGATACTTTCTCTCTTGCTTTCTCTCTCTCTCTTTTTAAAGGACTTGTTTAAATATGAACTCTGTAAACGCCTTCGGTCCTTTCTCGCTCTTGCTTTCTCTCTTTCTCTCATTCATTCTCTCTCACGCTCACTCTCTTTCTCTCTCTCAGTTTTCAACTAACCAGCTTACGCTCTGTTAACATTCAATATGTCTCCCACCGAACTCTTCAAAGAAATAAGAACATGCCATCTGCAAAATTATAATTTAACAGTATAAAGCTTCAGGTCACATATTCCAAAAACTAGCTAAGTAATTTTTTTATCACATAAACTATACATTAAATATTTTGAGGTATTTCAGAGAAAATTGTCAAAGGCTTGGAGGAGCTGTGCTGGACTTCTTTTTCCCTTGTGTGGAGAATGTCTTTGGTATCTCACAAACCATTTGAGTATTGGGAAGAAGAAGGAAATGGGATTTAGAGAAGCAGGAGAAGGAAGGGGTCTTTTGAAGAAGGGGACATCAGGGAGAAGGATTCTGGATCTGAGTAGGATGACCAAGTCCATAGGGATAACAGCCCCATGGAATTAGGGCATAGAATCAGGCAGGAACAAAGAGGAAAGGGAAGATCTGTATGTCTTATGCTAGTAGGTCTGGCCCAGATAGTAAAAACTGAAGAGTGAAACTGATTAAGACTGGGTAGAAACTGACCAATGTCCTTCAATTTCACTGCCTCTCTTGAGTCAAGCAAGGAGACTTCCTCAAGAGGTCCAAAGCATGGGGGAAAGTAGACCCTCAAATAATTACTGGGCCTGGTCACACTGGCTCAGAAACTCTAGCTAGCAGCAGCTAATTTCTTTTCATCTTGGAAGAATGTTTCCTACCATAGCAAATTTAAGACACGGAATGTCAGAGCTGGGAGAGGGACCATCTAGTCCAAAATCTCCTCATTTTACAGAGTGGAAAAAAAAATGAGATGCAGAAAGGGAAAGTGATTTGCCCAATATTATATCATTTGAAAAACAAGAGGCTGAGGGAAGAACTAGAATTAAGAGAGACTCGTACCTCTTTTTTGGGGAAGGATTAGGTCTTGGCCAAAAAAACTGGAGGAGGCAGGGAGAGAGAAGCAGGGGGGCCTAGATAATTTACCCTCTCAATAATTAAAATTTAGGTTATATGTGTTAAAGGGATCCACATAATACCACTTTACCCTTTTAAAAAAATTTTCCCCAAACACTTCCATGTTGAATGCCTTTTTGATTATTCTATTCTCATATTACAGAAGATATTAATTTCATTGTACAGAATGCAAGGTATTCTCACTGAGTCTCAGAGAAGTTAAGCAAGTTACCCACGTCACACAGCAGAGGGCCTATCCTGCACCTATCCTCACTCAACTAATCTTGGGGGCCCACTAACCTTCAGAGATACCCATTTGCTAAGTGGGATGGGAAACGCAGATTGAGGACAAAGGTGGATCTATGGAGGGAAGAGTGGTTTGGGTTTGGGCGCCTGGCCCTTGGGGATGGAGGGTGGAAGAAGTGAGATCCAGAATCCAGTTTGTAGAGTAGAGAGATGTGAGCTGATTGATTGGCTGGTGGCTAGGGAAGGAGTGAGAAGGGGGAAGATTTCTGTTTTCTGTCCCAACACCCAAAGGTTCATCTCTCAAATCCGCTTGCTTAAAAAGCTGAGGTAACAGTGAGTTGATTAGGATGAAAAAACACAGACATCAAGAATTGGCCACACACACCTTTGGTACAAGAAGGCACTCAATCGAACTCACTACTCATCCTCCTCTCCTCTCTCTCTCTCTCTCTCTCTCTCTCTCTCTCTCTCTCTCTCTCTCTCTCTCTCTCTCTCTCTCTCTGTCTCTCTATCTCTCTGTCTCTCTCTCTCTCTCTCTGTCTCTCTCTCTCTGTCTCTGTCTCTCTCTCTCTCTGTCTCTCTCTGTCTCTCTGTCTCTCTCTCTCTCTGTCTCTCTCTCTCTCTCTCTCACACACACACACACACACACACACACACACACACACACACACTTTCTCTCTTTCTCATTCTCTATCTCTCTGGGGGGAGGTAGGGGCCCTAAGGGCAAAAGCAGGGCCCCAGGAAGGGGGTGCAGATGCATCTGTTACAAAGGCAGAGGGAAATAGGTCTGTCCAGCACAGCTCCTGCGAGGGGAACAAAATCTTTGGTATCAGACGTGATTTCTCCAATCACAGAAGTGAGAACGCAGTGAGGTAGCCTTAACCTTGGGGGATAAGGGGAAGGGAGAAGGGGCACGGGGCAGGAGGATTTCATTAGAAATGTCTTTTGCATTCTCAGGGAGCTTGGGCTGGGGCACCCCCTCCCTGGATCTGGAAAGGGGGGTGGGGGGAACATAGGGTTGGGGGAGTCTCTTTCTGGCCTCAAAGCCCTTGAACCCGTAGAGGTGATGCTGGCCACCACAGCGCAGCTTTGTTGCCCACCACAAGACAAGATCATATTGGGGGGTGTGGAGAAGGAGAGAGAGCAGCTCAAGGTGGGCCAGGTAGCTTTTCCCTCCATTTCAACCTCTTCTCTCCCACCTTTCCCCTCCTAGCCCCCATTCACAATTTTGGCAAAACAAACCTAGTGGATTCTACCATCTTCAGTCAGTTTCCTTGTTTGTAGGGAGGGAGGGAAGGAAGGGGAGAGAAAAATAGCCTTGTTGGGGAAGAGGAGAGAACTTCCACCTCCAGCCAAGTCCCTCTACCTCTCTCCTTGCCCCATCACACTAATTGCATCCACCATTGCCACTTCTTCCCATCCTCCAGCGATGGGGATGGGGATGGGGAAAGAGCCCCAAAGGTTCGTAGGGAGCCCTCTGTGCCATCAGCAGGATCCAGACCCTCAGTGGCATCAGCAGATTTGACTTTTTGTATGTTTCTCTCTCTCTCTCTCTCTGACCTCTGACCCCCCCCCAATCAAGGTGCCTAAATAGGGATGTAAAGTGACTGGGACCTGGAGATGGGGCTGATAGGTGGGGAGTGTTGGGCAGTGGGGAAAGGGGCACCTGGAATATACCCGCTTCATGTTTGAGCTCATAAACACCACCTTCCCTCCCTCCAACCCCAATTCCATCTTCCACTAACCTCTCCAGGCAGAAGTTCCAGCCTGGGTGGAGGCAATTCTGGGAGCCCAGGAGAGAGACCTCCCTTTTCCTAGGAGCTGAGAAGACTTGGGGAAGGTGGGGGAGGGGGAGAGAGCTGGGGAAAGTAGCTCAGCCCAGAGCTCTGGGCCTGGGAGCCCTGGGGGAGGAGAGAGGGTGCCTGGGCCTACTCCCCAGGATACTCAGGAAGGAGGGAATGGGACACTGACCCCCAGGTGGGCCCCTCCCTGCCCAGGCCGGGGTTTAAGGCAGGTAGCTGATCTTGGCACATCGAATTCTGGCCACTGGGGAAAGCAGGTGTTTGCAGGCTCCGATGGACCAGTTCTCTCCTTATTAGGGGTGCTGGGGTGAGGGGCAGGGTTGCCATTTGATCTGAGTTTGGTTTTTCTATTTTCTTGGGTGGGGTTGGGAGTCGTCCTGGCCCTGCCTGGACTAAGCACTGGAATCCAGTTTGGGGTCTCTGGTAACCACCTTGGGTTTAGGGGTCAGATGAGAAAAGGTAGGGCTGCCCCAGGCCCCGGGGTGGTTGGGGGAGAGGGAGGTTGTCCCAGGGAGGCTTTCCCACCTTCCTTGACTTAGGAAGGCGATGGTAGAAGGAGGGAGGGGTATTAATTTTTAAAGTTTTTTTTTTAAATACCCGGTTTGTATTCCTACTATGTGCTTTTTGACCCGCTTTTGGGAGAAGGGGACAGCATGAGACTTGTTTTCCTCAGTGTCCCCTGGACACCCTGACTGGAGGTGGGGAGGGTGGTCGGGGACCCCCAATCCTTCCACGGAGTGAGGGAGGGACGTCTGTTTCCTTTGGTTAGGGAGATTTCTTTGGAAGGAGTCCTAGGGGTGGGGGAGGCGTCGCACCCGGAAGGAAGGACCCCATTTGTGCACGTGGGCTTGGGGTGCATCCCCTTACCCTCCCTCCCGGAGGCGGCGTCGGATCCCGCCACTTCCCCCGCCCCCCGTCCCCAGCCTTTGTTTCCACTGGCTCCGTGGGCCACACGTGGATCTCCAAGCGTGTCTCAAGCCAGTGTGGGAATGGGATGGAGAGGCAGACTGGCTCCGCGGGGCTACGCGGTGGTTGAACCCTGCAGCCCTCGCCCCTCCTGGGCCCATTCCAGTCCCATCCCTTCCGGCCCGTAGCTCACCTGCTTGGGGATCTGGGGATCTCGAGCCGTCGGAAGGCGGCTGGGGCTCCGCTCTGTTCCGCTCCCCTCCTCCCCCGGCAAGCCGTACCCCCAGTGCCCGGGAGCCCGGAAGGGAGATGGGGCCCGGGACCCGGCTCCACAGCCCGGCTGCGGGAACCCACTAGGAGAAGTTCCACGGGCCCAAGCCGCGGAGGGAGAAACCAAGGGTGCCCCAGGGAGTGGGGAGGGGGTGGCGATGTCCAGAGCAAGGCGCTCCCGGCAGCCCGGGCTGGGGGGGGGAGGCACCGCCTGGGTTCGGTCAGGCTCCCCCCCCCCACCCCCGGGAAGGAGCGGGGATGGTACCGTTTGCCCCCGGGGGTGGGGAGGGATCGCTCGGGGGCGGGGCCTGATGCCAGGGGGCGGGGAGGGGCGGGGCGGGGGCGGGCTCATGCTTTGGAGAAGGTGCCGGCCGCGGCGGCGGCAGCGGCGGCGGAGGCGGAGGCGGAGGCGGGGCCGCCCGGCTCCTCCTGCCAGCGGTTCATGCAGCGGCGCCGCGCGTTCATGAAGAAGTTGCTGACGGTGTTGAGCTCCAGGCCGAGCTGCTGCGAGATGGTGACCTGCATCTCCTTGGACGGCCGCTTGTTCTCCTTGAAGATGGCGATCAGCGTGCGGCGCTGCAGGTCCGTGAAGACCAGGCGCTGCTTCTTGGGCTGCAGCGTCCGCTCCTTCTGCTGCTCCTGCTCCTTCCGCTTGCAAGCTGGGAGCCCGGCCGGCCGAGGAGGCGGCGGCACCGGGACGGGGACACAGAGGCAGCGACACGGGGCCAGCCACACGGGGACAGATACCGACGGGGCAGGGGAGCGGGGCAGAGAGAGAAGGGGGGCGGGGAGAAAGAGAGACAGAGACAGAGAGATAGAGACAGAGAGAGACAGAGACAGAGAAAGACAGAGAAACAGAGAGACAGACAGAGACAAAGACAGAGGAGACAGAGCGGAGACAGAGAGAGACGGAGAGGCAGAGAGGAGAGACAGAGAAGAGACAGAAAGACAGAGACAGGGAGACAGAAGCAGAGAGGCAGAGAGAAAGAGAAACAGAGACAGAGAGAGACAGAGAGACACAGAGACAGACAGAGATAGATACAGAGGGAGAAGGAGGGGGAGAGAGAGAAAAGGAGGGAGACAGAGAGATGGATGGAGGCAGGGGGAGAGGGAGAGGGAAGGAGGAAGAGAGAGAAGGAAAGAGGGAGGAGAACAGGGCAGAGGGAAGGAGAGAGAGAGACAGATGAGATAGGGAGAGAGACAGATAGACACAGAGACAAACACAGATAAGAGTCAAAGGAGAGACAGGAATGCAGAGACAGAGATAGAGACAGAGACAGGCAGAGACAAAAAGAGGCAACAAGAGAAAGCAACACATAACAGAGAGATCAGACATAGAAAGAAACAGTAGGGGAGGAGACACAGAGAGACATCAAGAGTAGAGACAGGAAAAGAAACAGGAAGAAACAGTGAGACAGGGAAGTAGAAGGCAACATAGAGAGAAGTAAAGAGAACACAGCACAAAAAGAGAGACAGCAACAGGTGAGAGAGACAGAGACAGAGAGAGAGAGAGGGAGACAGAGGGGGAGAGAGAGAGAGAGAGAGAGAGAGAGAGAGAGAGAGAGAGAGAGAGACAGAGAGAGAGAGAGACAGAGAGAGAGACAGAGAGAGAGACAGAGAGAGAGAGACAGAGAGATACAGAGAGAGAGAGAAAGACAGAGAGACAGAGAGAGACAGACAAAGACAGACGAGACAGAGAGGAGACAGAGGGAGAGAGAAAGATGAATGAGAGAGAACAGAGATGCATAGTGAGACAGAATCAGAGAGCATTTGTAAATTGGGAGATAAAAACCAAGAGACAGAAGTAGAGAATGAGATACAGTGAGAGACAGATGAAGGACAGGGTTGGGGGCATGGTGATAGGGGCAATGACATGTAGGGAAACAGACATGGAGAGAGAAAGAGAACATGGACAGTAGAGTAAACTTCCCCTCCAGGGCCCCCATCCTTCCTCTCCTTTTGCCCATTCCAGTGCCCTTCCAGAACGTGGGCCCCCTTCCTCAGATCAGCATGCCTTCTTCCCAGCCCCCAAACTGGCTCTCTAGGGCTTATAAAGTCTAAGGGGGGGCAGAGGGGAGGGGCTGAGATAAGTTCAAAGAAGTAGCAGTTCCCCACCTCCATCCCACACCTCTCCTGAATCCGCCTGGCTGGCCTGAAGTAGTGAAGCCTGCAGAGAACCTCACTTCCTCTCCTGGACTTCTGACCTCAGAGCCCTCAGATCTCTGGCCAAGGCTGGATGAAGGGAGGAGGGCCCTTCTCTGGACATGGGCAGGAGAAAAGGCTGGCAGGGCTGGGAAAAGGAAACTACATCTCCCCTCCTCAATGCCAGACACTTTCCCAGGGCTGGCTGAGGCCCAACCATCTTCAAGGGAACATTCTTTACTCCCTGAGAATGTCCCTCTTTCTTGTGGAATAAAGCTGGAGGTTCACTGTGACCCTCAATCCCTCAGAGACACACTGGGGTCAGACCTTTCAGGACTCAGGATCTAATGGGGTCCCAGTGAATGGTTTAGGTGAGGCCTCTTCATTATCCCTGCTAAAGGGTGTGGATGGCCCCCAGAACCTCTCCTCCACCCCCAGCTCTCCTGAGGAACTGACTGAGAGGATGAAGAAGACTTCCACTGACCAGGTCTTATCATCATAGACTCATAGGATACTAAGCATGGAAGTCAGGAGACTTGAGTGTGAATCCCACTTAGTAGCTGTGTGCATCCTTAGCATGTCATTTAACTCCTATGAGCCTCAGTTTCCCCAGCCATAAAATCTAGAGGTCAGAATAAAATCACTTTTACCTCCAAAGGCTTATGATTCTATGAATATACCAGAGGCAGCATGTTGTAGTGGAGAGTGTGCTGGTTTGAAATCAGAGAATATGGGGCTGAATTCATTTTGTGACTTACTAGCCACGTGTAACCTTAGAGAAGTCACTTCCCACCCCAGGGTCTGTTCCCTAATCTACAAAATGAAGGGACTAGACTAGATGGTCTTTAAGAGCCCTTCCAGCTCTGACCTTCTGTTGATACTACTGAACTAGAAAGGTTCCCCAAGATGATTTAAACCAATCTCTTAATTTTATAGATGGGGAAACTGAGGCCCGAGATGATGCAGTCTCATCAGTTGACAGAGCTGGGACTAGAACCCTTGTCTAATGATTCTCAGCCCAGGGCTCTTTCAGGACCATTAAAAACTGGGTCCTAGGATGAGTTTCCCAAGATAGCCTGACTGTAGCCCCTTTTGCCACCCTCTTCCCTAGGGCAGATGTATTTCAGGGAGTGGGGGGATCTTGCCTGACTTGGGATCATTGTTCCCAGTTGGGAGAAAAGCCTGCTTCTCCTCTAGGAATGAGATGTCCTGATCCTAAATCTAACCCACCCCACCCCCAATCCCTGACCCCAAAGGTTGACTGAAACCTTGGTCTGGATCTCTGCCCAACCCAAGTGGTATCCCTTGAGATGAGGGCCAGACCTAGGACCTTCTCTCCTCACCCCCTCTCATGGGGTCCCCTGAACTAAGGCCTAACATTGGCATCTCCCCCTTGTCCCCATAGGTTCCCTGAACTGAGGCCCTAGTCTATGATCTCTCTTTATCCCCAAGGAATCGTTTGAACTTATAGTCAAAGATAAGTCTTTCCCCATGGAGTCCCTTGAGCTGGGACCCAGGAATGGGACCACCCCCCTTTCCCCATGGGGTCCCCTGAGCTGAGAACCACAGGATGGACACACTTTGGGAAGGTTTGGGCCTAAATCCCTTGTCCCAGGCACCCACCCCTCCATGGGGGGGATCCTCTCCTTTGAGGGTGAACCTCCCCACAGGGACCAGGGGTTGGGGAGGGGCAACAGGGGAGAAAGGGCACAGGGCAAGACCTACCCTATGGGCATCAGATGCTTGCAAAAGAAACAAACAAAAGGAATGTTGTGATTGGATTTTGGTGGTATTTATGGGCTTGTGCTGCCCACCCCACTCCTTCCCTCCCCAGTGCTTCCACCCCTCCCTTCTCTGCCCTGCTCTTCCACCTCCCTCCCTCACTTTCCCAGTTCCTATAGCAGTGCCTCTGTGCCCCACCCTCCCCGACCATGGTTGGACAGCAAAGATGGGCATTGTCTCCACAAGGCCTTCTGCCAAGGAGGGCTTTAGGGTTAGCCTTTTCCCACTAAGAACAGCAACGTTTGACACATCTATTTGTAATAATAATGATTGTAAACACAACAGAATATAATCACAATAGAAAATAACTTACATTTCTATAATGTTTTAAGATTTACAAAAAGCTTTCCTCATAATAACCTAAGGTAGGTAGTGACCCAGAGAGAAGTGACCGGTTAAAACAGTGTCAGATCTGAGACTTTAAAGGCGGTTTTCTGGCTGTGACACACTGAGTTGGGGGGAGAGGTGGTAAGGGCTGAGGGGGCTGGGTTACAGTATGAGAAGAACTTGTCACATCAGGGACAGGGAGAAGAGGTGGATTGGAGGCTGTGTTGTCACTGGAAATGGGAGGGGTAGAGATAGGAGATAGGAAGGATACTGGACATAGGCCCCGCCCATTCTATTATTCTTCTCAGTGACCATTCTGTAGACAGAGACATCTCTGGGGCCCCAGATGTCACTACCCTGACCACAAAGCCAGGCTGGGAAAGGGGGCCATCCTGTGGTCATAGCCCTCCAAAGATCTCTCTTCCATAACTGACTGCCAGTCAGCTAGGTATGCTTTCTCCATTCAGGCAGACTTAAGAAGGTAAAGGGAGTCAGGCACTGGAATGCTGAGTAGATGTCCATGTCATTGCCCTGGCATCATAGCACCAAACTCTAACGTGGTGACTCTTGTTCTACAATGCAGATGCTGTACTTCATGTTCATTCTGTTCTCTCCCATCAATGGGCTACAACACTAATTCTCATCTTCATCACTTCTAACCTAGAACGTGGCAGTAACAGCCTAATCGGTCCCCCTTCTTCAAGTTTCTCCCTTTTCTAATCCCCCCCAACAGCTGCCAAGTAACTATTTGTGAAGCACAGATCTGACCACGCCACTCCCCTGCTCTAGAAGCTCCACCTCCCCATTGCTTCTAGGATCAACTACAAACTCATTTGACTGGCACTTAGAGACTTTCACAAGTCTGACTCTGTTTCCCCTTTCCAGGCTGATTACACATTGTTCCCCTTCATATGCTCTGGACACTAACCAAACTGGCCTTGTGGTTCCTCATACACATCATTAACATCATCAGCACTTCTACATAGCATCATCCATTTATTTATTTATTTCTTCATTTATTCATTCATTCATTCATTCATTTATTTATGCACTTATTTATTTCTTTATTTCTTTATTTATTTATTTGTCTATCTATTTATCTATTTATTCATTCATTCATTCATTTATCTATCTATCTATTTATTTATTTATTTATTCATTCATTCATTCATTCATTCATTTATTCATTTATTTATTTATTTATTTATTTATTCATTCATTCATTCATTCATTCATTCATTTATTTATTTATTTATTTATTTATTTGGTGAGGCTATTGGGATTAAGTGACTTGCCCAGAGTTACACAGCTAGTGAGTGTTATGTGTCTGAGGTCAGATTTGAACTCAGGTCCTCCTGAATCCAGGGCTGGTCCTCTATCCACTGTGCCATCTAGCTGCCCCTTACAT